TCCTGGCATCGCTACTACGAGCAAGAAACTACTAGGGGCTCTTCTTCAGTGCGAGCGCTTCAGGAAGCTCCCCCTCGCCGCCTTTAGGGCCGCGAGGGGAGCTTCCTCAAAGAAGTGAGCTACCCTGCGTCCTACCTAGAAGCTAACTTCGCCTAGTAGCTTACGTCTCCCTTACTGAATTAAGTAGGTGCCTACTTAATTAAGTAGGGAGGGTCACAGCCGTGTATAAATATATATATATATTTATGGTATGGACTCTTAAATCACTTACCTTTTACCGAGTGCACAAAAAGAAACTGTTTATGAAGGATGGGGCTGTTTTCAAACGGCACACTGCACACTGTGGACGACACTCTTTGACGCAGAAATTGCGAGCCTCGAATTCTGGCGGGTTGCCCCCAGATGCTTTGCTGGGCCAAGGTTGAGGCTGTCAACACCGCGAAATGAAGAGGTGAACCGTGAACTGGTTTTTGGGTCAAAGAATTGAACTGTGTGCTGATTTTAGTGTGATTCTTATTGAAATATTTGACTGCCAATGCAGACTCGCATGCAAAGCACATTTGCAGATTTTTCAGAGAAAAGCATGCTACTAGGAACAAGAAGCTACTAGGGGCTCCTGGCATCGCTATTGGGAACAAGAAGCTACTAGAGGCTCCTGGCCGTACTACTAGGAGCAGGTAGCTACTAGTAGCAAGATTAGCTGAGAGAAAAACCAAGCTGTTGCAGAGGCCACACGGGTGGGGTAGCCAAGACCAGCAAACAATCTGTCGCAACCCTCACAACTACTAGCGATGGCCTCCAACCTAATAGCGTCCTTGCTCCTGGCTCCTAGTAGCGATGCCAGGCCTTTTGTTACTAGTAGCGATGCCCTTTGCTCCTAGTAGCGATGGCCTCCAACCTAAGAGCCACACCCAGAACGCTTTCTCTTCCTGTTTCAGCATAGCAGCACTCTAAACATTGAGTGGACCCTGCTGTAAACACATGGAGGCTATCACTGTTAGGTTGGAGTCCATCGCCATTAGGTTCACATGTCCCCTAGTTGTTCACTGAGGCACAGCGGCGACCTCACAGAGCTTCCCAGGGCGAGAGGGCTTTGAATTGAGACGCTACTAGTAACAGGTGCATCGCTACTAGTAACAGGTGCATCGCTAGTAGTAACAAGAAGC